GTTGCCATGTGTTGTAGAGATCCTGCAGCTTTGGGTCTACAGGACTTGCTCCTTCATGTGCTCCAGGAGATCATAGGTGGGGTAAATGTTGGGGTGAGCCAACTCAACCCTGGTTCTAGGCCTGGGTAGTTGCAGCTCTTGCCTGTCTTCGCCACCAGGGTGAGATCTCCAGCATTGCCCCAGCTAGTTCACCCCTTATAGAGATGACCAAGGGACGGGCTGGCTCTCCCCACCTACACCAGCAGGGCCAGGTCCACAGTGTTGCCAGGCAAGGGACAACTCTCCTGTTCTTATGACCTCAGGGCCAGCTTTCTCAACTGCCACAGGCAGTGTGTGTGTGTGTGTGTGTGTGTGTGTGTGTGTGTGTGTGTCTCTCTCTCTCTCTCTCTCTCTCTCTCTCTCTCTCTCTCTCTTGCTTCCTACACCACCATATGGCTGATGAGGGATGGAACCAGTTCCATCAAACACACGTTCTCTGGCCGGTTCACCCGCAGGCCTGGTGAGGTGCAGGGCCCGCTCTCCTGAGTGCTACAGCAGGTGAGGGGGAGGGTCAGCTCACTCCCTCCTCCCCCACCCTGCTGCAAGTGTGGAGGGACAGGGCCAGGCTTCTTTGTATTCTTAAAAGTACTTAAAAAGATAAAAACAAAGGAACAAGAACAATGTCGCCCTCTCTTTGGACTGTGGAATGGCGTTCTGTTGCCCTGAGTCTGTTTCTTATCCTTCTGGAAGGCAGAGTGGTGGAGGTGAGGGGCTGTCCACAGCTCCTGGGACCCCGGGCCGACTGTTTCTGGGACTCAGGCAGCATCTTTCCTCCTAGGAGCTTTTCCTCTTGTCGCTGAGAATTTATAATCCGCTGCAACACTGGCCAAAGCCAGGTGCAGGACAGCTGTGATACATGAGTCAAGGGTAGGTTGAGCCCTTGGAAGTGACCCTGCACATGTCATCTTCTGGGGAGATGGGGCCACCCAGATGCCAGGCACACAGTGACTGCCTGCCATGTGACCAAGAGGCACCCCCAGCTCTGAGTTGCACAGGGAGGCCCTAGGAATGAGAGCAGCCTGATGTTGTCATCTTCAAACTCCACCTGGTGCTGTGGGCCATGACTCGGGAGCTCAGAATCTGGGTTAGGTCCACAGGGCGAGTCTCCATTGACTTCTGTGTTGTTTCCCTGTGGGCTGGCTCGCATATATATGCGAAAGCAGCAGTTGGAGGCATAATGATGTTTCTTTTTTAAGCTCTTCTGAATACCCTGTTGAGCTGTTTAGAGAAGCAAGCTGCATGTTGCCTGTTCTCAGTGCCCTGACCTCCAGCCCCTCTCTCTATGACATGTGAATCACTTCCATTTTTTTTTTAAACCTTATTTTTTGCAATTCCTGCAGTCTGGGCAGAATGAGGGTGTTAGAAGTTCGGGGTTCACAGTGAACAACAAACATTGCCCTTGCAGGCCTGAGCATCTGTTCACTTCTGGGGGGATGTTTTGGAGAGCTGCAGGGGGACTGGTGTAGAGGTGTGAGCTTTGCACCCACATGTGTGTACGTTCATGCAGGGCCTTATGCGATTACCATCCGCCACATGTATTTACTGCACTCAGGTAAACACACACATTGTACACATGTTCTTCCCCAGTACCTCTCCTTGTCTGATTTGTTGGCTTTCAAAGTTGTCAATCAGTGTTCCAAACAATTCTATTGGTCTCTTACATGTCAGCTTCTGGGAAGGTGTCTGTTTAATCCACCGTCTCTGGGGTGGCAGTGTGCTGGCCATGCCTTGGTAAGGGTTGGGTCAGTTGTAGTGGCGTGGTTCTAAAAAGAGAGACCTTCCTGTGTCATCAGCTCCTTTTTAAAGCCACAGACTGCTGATAGCCATTTTCTTTCTCCCAATTTGGCACTCAGTTTTGAAGAAAAAGCTTAGATTAGGTGGCATGTGACCCCACAGCTGCTCTTCCTGCCTGCCAGTGGGGGCAGTGCCAGCCAGCCGCAGCTTCCCCGTCTCAACTCTGCAGCCCCAGGAAGTTCCACAGTGAAAGCAAAGCTGGGCACATGGGTGCTTCTGCCTTGGCAGGCATGAGAAATGAGGACAGGGTCCCCAGGTGGGTTGTGGAGGCCCACAAGGGTTTCCTAGTGAGATCTGAGCTTGCTTTAACCAGCAGGGCTGCATTAGAGAATTGCTTGACCATGTGTGTGATTACTAGGTGATTGGAAAGGGTCTGCACTTGGCTATGCTAGAGGGAGGTCTTTTGCTCCACCCCTTGGTATTCCTATAAAAGGCCTTTAGCCGGGCAGTGGTGGTGCACGCCTTTAATCCCAGTACTCGGGAGGCAGAGCCAGGTGGATCTCTGTGGGTTCGAGGCCAGCCTGGTCTACAGAGTGAGATCCAAGACAGGCACCAAAACTACCTGGAGAAACCCTGTCTCGAAAAACCAAAAAACAAACAAACAAACAAAAAGGCCCTTTAGAGGATACCGGAGGGGTCAGTGGGTAATGATCCAGGCTCTCCCGAGGCTATCCTGTGTTTCTGTTTCTCTCCCCTTCATCTTTCTATCTAAATATTTCTCCCTCCTCCCTTCTCAAGAACCCTGGGGAAAAAGTGGGAGCGGGCCTCCCACAGAGAAATGGGTAGCTCCCACCACAGTGGATGAAGGTCAAGTGTGTCAGAACACAAGCCAGGCCACTGTGCAGATACCTCAGGCTGATGTCGCTGGTGAAAGATAGGTGACCTGTCCTGTGGGCGTGCCAGTGGGTGGGAAAGAGAAAGGATGACTAGAAGACTGCGTTCCTGCCTCCCTCCTTCACAGCCTGGGCCTGCTACATGAAGGGCTGTCCCAGCAGGTGCCAGTGCTGATGCGCCTCCCTCTACCCCCTAGTCGCAGCTGGCACCTTTCCTTACCTGTGTCCCTCTTGCTTAGCTCCCCTCAGCTAGAGGAAAAGGCCTCTGGCTCTGCTGTCCTCCAGAGCCGCTTGGCAAAGTCTCACCTCCAGGCTCGATCACGTGGGTGCTGCCTCTCCACCCTCTCTGGTAATGGTGTACGAAGCCTCAGTGGTACCTCACCTCAGACATTCATCAGTTGCCTCCCAACAGGGCACCACGTGCCCTCAGCAAGAGGAAGGCCAAAGCAGAGATGGCCACTTTTTGTTTCCCAACCTGAGGAGGGCCTGGTGCCACGTCTGCTGCATCCTCAATGGCCACATGACCAACCCTGGGGAAGTGTGGCTGGGGACTGTGGAAGGATGTGATCCCTGGAAGTTGGGGAGGAGGCTGCATTTTCAGGGATGAAAGGGACCCAAATCCAAAGGGGAGCTGAGATTCACTTTCTCTTTTCAAGAACATTTATTTTATTCATTTGTTCATCCATTCATCTGTTTGTGTGTGCTTATGAGTTATATGCACACATGTGTAGGGCGCATGCTTCCATGTGAGCCCTGGGAGGCTAGTCCTCCCCAGCTGCTCTCCAACTTAGTGCTTTTGCTGTTGGGTCTTTTGCACTTAGAGCTCATGCTTTTCTACTAAGATGGCAGCCAGCAACTTCCAGGGGTCATCCTGTCTCTGTCCCCCGTGGAGGTGAGGCACAGGCATGCAGGGTCACACCGAGCTTGTTGCATGGATGCAAGGAGTTGAACTTGGCTCCTAATGCTTGCTGGTAGCACCTTCTCCCCTGTCCCAATGCAGACACACACTGTACTGGCTGGTTTTGTGTGTCAACTTGACTTAAACTAGAGCCATCAGAGAGGAAGGATCCTCAGTTGAGGAAAAGTCTCCAAAAGATCCAGCTGTAAGGCATTTTCTCATTTAGTGATTAATGGGGTGGGGGGTGTCCAGCTCATTGTGGCTGGTGCCATCCTTGGGCTGGTAGTCCTGGGTTCTACATGAAGGTGGACTGTATAAGTCACAGAAAGCAAGCCAGTAAGCAGCTCCCCTCCATGCCTTCTGCATCAACTCCTGCCTTCAGGTTCCTGTCTGGTTTGAGCTCCTGTCCTGACTTCCTTCAGTGATAAACAGCAATGCTGAAGTATAAGCCAAATAAACCCTTTCCTCCCCAACTAGCTTTCTGGTTATGGTGTTTTATCTCAGCAATAGAAAACCTAACACCACACACACACACACACACACACACACACACACACACACACACACACGAATTTTGGCATATGTTACGTATGTACATACATGCTTATATTACCTGCCAGTTCTTTGTATAAAAATACAGATGTGATTATATCCATTTATAAAATAATAGGATTGTACCAGAACAACAGCAGTTATCTCTGAAATAGCTTCCATTTTTGTCTTTATAGTTCTATTTAAACGATTTTTATTTGGCAATACAATTTCATGCATGTACAGAATGCATTTTGATCATTTTTGCCCTCCATGACCCTGTCTCCCTCCCTCCCACGCCCACCACATTCTTCTTGTGAGGTTAGCCTCTGAGATAGCTCAATACTTGGTCACGTTAGTCGTCATTATTCTGACCACGTTCGCTTTGAACCAGACTCCTTTCCATCTCATTTCATGACTTTTTTTTGTCAACTTCTAGACTGGATTGGAATACACAGGCACCTGCCTGCAGCTCTCACCTCCTTCCCATCAGAGTTAGGAGTACAACCCAGCATTGAAAAGAGGGGGTGTGTTAGTGAGCCCCCCCCCCCCCCCCCAGCACGGCTGTCCTGTTTCCCTCATACCCATGGCACTCTCTTTCTCTCACTGTTCACAACCTTTATTTCCGGGGTGTGTAAAGTGGGAAGTCTGGTTACCACTGGGCCATTCTAGAAGAAAACACATTTTGAGAGAAACTTGGGCGGGGAGGTGCAGTCACAGGGAGACTTTTATATGAGCCTTGCGGACAGAGCTGTGTCTCATGCATGTGGAGACAGTCCTCTGGTGCATAAGGCACAGCCCAGTTGCCTTGCCCTGGACACCGGTGCATAGTTAGTCAGGGTGGGAGCCCCTGGGTTGCGACCCCAAGGCTTTGCTGTCCCGGTAATGGTGCCTTCCATCCACAGGCAGGTCCCAGCGGCGGCCCCAGGCACCGTGTGTGCATCATTGATGAGATTGGGAAGATGGAGCTCTTCAGCCAGCCTTTCATTCAGGCAGTCCGCCAGACGCTGTCCACACCGGGCACTGTTGTCCTTGGCACCATCCCAGTCCCCAAAGGGAAGCCACTGGCCCTGGTGGAGGAGATCAGGAACAGGCGTGACGTGAAGGTGTTCAGTGTGAGTAAGCCAGCCCTTGGGGAACCTCCTACCCTGGGTCACACCCCAGCCCTTGTGATCTTGCTCATCTACCTCTGCCAGCAGTGGAGTAGTCAGGGCAGGGTTTGAGGTGTTGGCTGGGAAGGTCTGTCCAGGGAAGAGCTGTGGAGACCAGAGCCATGCAGGTCATGTGCTCAGTGGCAGAGTTCCAGCCCCACCCCAGCCGAAAGATGTGTGCTTATGGGAAAATTAGTTACTCAAGTCTGGGCCTTGACTTTGGAATTGTCTTAGTAATAAAATACAGTAAACCTGTAAAAAAAAATGGGCAAAAGGTTTGAATAGCTGTTTCTCCAAGGATCATGAGGAAGCACGGAGAAGACATGTACCCCACCAACCATGGTGACCATGACACCACACCCACTAGAAGGCCTTCCATTTCTGTTAGAGGAGAGAGAAGGGAGGGCTGGGAGAAACCTCAGCCTCTCTACCTTGTCAGTGGGAAGGAACTGAGCTGTCCCTGGAAAACCACTCTGGTTTCTCCAGAGGTTGTGTGTTAGTCACTATACCAGCAAGTCCACTCCTAGGCATTCATACAGCAGACTTGAAGACACGTGATACAAAGCTTGAATGAATGCCCACAGCAGCATTATTCACAATACTTTACAGACTGAGAGGGGCCCAGATGTCCACCAGCAGCTAAATGGGAGTGTAACGTGTGCTGTTGCCATCTGCTGTGGTGTTAGTGGCACAAAGGATAAAGCACAGCCACATTCTGAAGCCTGCATGAAGGCCGTATTGTGCTGAGTGAAAGAAGCCAGTCACAGAAGGTCACGAGCTCCGTGATTCCATTTATAGACTGGGCGTTGAGACAGGAAATAGAGTGGTGATTGCTGGTGATGGGCAGGAAGGAAGGAGGTGGCTGTGAACGGGGGCCTTGTCTGTGATGAAATGTCCATCTCTAGCCCTTAGAGGGTGAACTTCCATGGCATTTGCAGTGCGTCTCAGCCAGGCAGTTCACACACGTACGCACACAGAGGTCAAAGCCATGGCGGCACCGCTTTCCCTTTAAGACTCATGGGCATACCCTGTAAATGGTGACGGCTGGTCCCCTCCCCACCTAGGCGTGGCCTTGCTGCATGATAGCACGGCGGAAGACCTCACATGCTGAGACATGGCAAGCATGCCTGCTCAGGTCTCCTTTCCTTTTACAAAGCTCCTAATGCTGGGCTGGCAATGACTCTGGAGTTCGTACCCAGCATGCACAGCGTCTTGTGTTCCATCCACAGCACCCTTATAAACAGGTGTTGTGGTACACGCGACACATCTGTTGCAAAAAAAATATATAAATAAAAAAGCCACCACTGCCATCCTATGGGCCCTGCCCTCAGGATGCCCTTTTAAAGCCCTTCTTCAAGTACCTTTAACTCATGGAAAGGCAGGAGATAGATTCTGGCGCATGCACTTTGGGGGTGTGATGAGACCTATGGTGGACAGAAACTCCTCCTCATATCTACATGCTCACTGAAGCATCCAGGCACACCGCCTCCTGCTCTCTGTGATTCTTGGCTCTGCACCTCTCTGAACATCATCCACCACCCGACCAACTTCCTTCCGCCCAAGCTTTCTTCCCCTGGACTGCTGTCTGCAGCCCCACCCAGCCTGCACTGCCTCTTCAGGGATCTTCCCCACAGGACCTTGCACACTTCTTGGTCTTTATGTCCTTTCCCATCATGGTCTGTGAGGTCACAACCTTGGGGGTCTGATCTGCAGCACACACCAGGTCAGGAGACCTGTGTGAGACTCTGGGATGCATCCCCTTGTCTTCTCTGGCTCCCCTTCAGCTCTCAGAGGAGCAGGAAGCTGAGGTCAGAGGCTCCTTGCAGCACTCAGATTCTCCAGGGTCATGGAAAGACCTGTAGATGTCATTGTCCTTGGGAGTAACCCAGAGTTGTGGGCAGCTACTGCAGTGTGCTGCTCTCTAGGGCTCAGGTCCAGCCCAATCCCCTCTTTGCGCCCCCCCCCCCAATCAGCCTGCAGCTGCTGAGTCTCACTCTGTCCCACCTCCATCCTGTGCCTCCCAGTGCCTCCCAGTGGTCATGCATTCCACTTGGGACTTGGTGATCCCAAAGAGCTGGCTTCTGCCTCCACCCCTGCTCTCGAGGAAATGTTGGCTCGAAGGACTAGAGGGAAGTGCTCTCTAAGCTTGCTCTCTTGCCTCTTTCCACAGGTCACTAAGGAGAACCGAAATAGCCTCCTGCCGGATATTGTGACCTGCGTGCAGAGCAGCAGGACCTGAAGCAGCAGGCGACCGGGTCCAGCTCTGCCTGCTGGTTACCCAGGTTTGCTACCTCCCTGTCAATGGGCCTTGTGCCCTCTGTCCAAGAGAGCTGGGCAGCTGCTTTCTACAAAATGTGGGTGAGATCAGAATTAGCCCAGTGCCTGCTGGGCCGTGCACAGTGAACAGTGCACTGTGTCTTATGTATGCTCAAGGGTTCTGTCTATTTCCTTTTGCAGCTGTGCGTGTGATTTGAGTAAATTCGAAGTGAACGTGTCAAGTATTAGTGGAATTTGCTCCCGTCGGGGTTTCTGGATGTGTTTGGGGCTGGGGAGAGGAGTTCACTTCTTCACTGACTTTACATGCTGTGGATAGTAAATACCTCTCCAGGTGCAGCTCCAGACTCCTGCAGCTGAAGACAGTAACGACAACTTGATTCTCTTCGTTATTTCCAAGGAAAAGCATATTAGTTCCGCTCTTCATCTCTCGTTTATTCCTTTCTTTATTGCCTAATAAAACTGGAAATAAGTCCGGTGCTTCAGGCACAGGCGTCCTCGTGTGGGAGGGACGGTTTTCAGAATGCTGGTGTTAGCCGATGCTCCGCAGGCCAGACATGAGCAAACCCTCCTGTTGTGCAGAGTTAGCTGGGCACAGTTTTCAGCCACGGAGCCCAGGTGCCCTCCCAAGAAAGAAAGGGACGGGACAGCCATCAGAGGAAGGCTTTGGAAGCTGATGTGAACTGCGGGCACCACTGGCTGCAGGCGCTCCTCTGTGAGGAGTGAGGGGACAGGCAGGGGCCCAGCCCACACTGAGCTCTAAGAAAAGCGAATCAACCATGGAAGCTGCTGGGTCCATAAAGGCCAGAGGCTGACGGCACCGGAACTTTAGTCATTTAGACATTTTTTTTAACAACAGCATTAATGACAACACCCATTGATGTGAGTACCATGGGTCCCTTACTGGGACCATGGACATATATATGGGCCTGTGTTAATGGGGGTGCCTGTGAGCTGGGCACTAGGACCCAGTGGATAGTGCAGTAAGCATTCTACTCAAGAGCCTGTGGCTAGGGCAGGATCTCATGTTGATCTTCCATCCAGGGTAGTTTTCAAAACTTGGCCTGCTCTTTCAAAGCAGGTCCCGGAGGGACCACTGCAGGCATCAGGAACTGAGCCTCGGAAAGGCCTTCCTGTCTAGTAGGAGAATTAGGTGCCTCCCTCCACCATCTGTGCCCCATTAGGTTCTTCAAGGAGGCCAAGTATGGAGCTCATGGCCTTGGACAGGCTGGCTGTGATGCCAGCAATGGGTACCAGGGCAGGTGGGACACAGCATAGGTGTGGGCCATAGCATCAGTGTGCCTGGCCACCCAGGACCTGAATGTACCCAGTCAAAAGCTGCTACACAGTCTGGCCCTGTCGGGGAGCCCTCCTCAGCGCTTTGAACCCAGATGAAGGAAGCAGGTAGGAGAAATGGTGGCGGTGGAGGCCATACAGTGTGCCCCTGCTAGGTCAAAGGGGAACTCCTGTGGGTACCTTACGTGGTCTCTCTGGTGGCGTGCACCTGTAATGGAAGCACTTGGGAAGCAGGAGGATAGTGAGTTCCAGGTCAACCTGGGCTACACAGGGAAGCATTGTCTCAAAAACAGTCTTAGAATGCCACAGATATGGGAGATGGGAGACTTGGACCCAGTCTGAGTGGCGTCAGAGTATCTGCTTAGTAATGTGCTCCCTTTTGTGTCTTCATCTAGGCTCTGTCATCTTGTGAATTGTGTGCCCTAGACCTCACCCTCACACTGATTTGTAATTGTGCAAACTGACACGTCCTTTAGTGACTACTACTCTGGCAGATGAGGGTCAGGGTCAGGGAGCAGGTACACAGATTTCAGATGCAAATCCTGGAACTCTAAGGAACGTTGATGCAGGGGCATTGGGGTCTCTAATGGAGTTGGATGTGGGTCCTGACTTGAGGAGTTCATGTTGAAAGAGCACATTGACGTGCGCATTGCTCACATGCATTCCAGCCAGAATAACATGGACGACAGGATGATGGAGAACCAGCTGGAGACAGACTGACGCTGCCCTTGCTGCCTCCCACTTAGCAGGTCATACCACCAGTCTCTTCACACCCAGTGGTCTGACAATCATTTCTTTCTTGTCTCTGAATGAAGGTAAGCTCACGTGCGGAGGCAACTTGGCTTTCAAATAAATAATAGAGACTCTCCCAGGATCTCCTGGTGGATGGAGAGGCTTCCAGGAAAACTGCAAATTCCTGGAAGGTTCTGGGAACAGTGAGGTGACCCTGTCCTCCCCCCATCAAGACTGGTGGGTGTGCCACCTGTTCATGCTGTGACACGGGCTTGGGACAGAATGACAATGAGTGGGGAGTGGCTGTGTAAACAGACCGTGCCATACATTTCAGAGGCAGAGACACCGGAGCAGCCGCTGCTTTTAGACCAGTGTGTGCCAGACGCGAACACTACCGCACAGGGCAGGATTTAGAGTTGGTGCCGAATCAGCCACGATATATACAAAGCCAAGTGCTGCAGTTGTTGTATTAGCTTTGGAAGGGAAATGCTCTTGTATGGTGTCAAATGCATTTAGACAGATGCCAGCAGAACATTTGAGCCACCCTGGCAGGAAGTGCCGTGGAGGCCTTCCTCTTGTACCACCACCAGAATGAGGAAGGCTCTGGGATGCAGGACTGGCTACTGGGAGGACCAGGGCAACATGTCATACATAAAAGCTTTATAATTAAAACCAGATATGTACAAATCCCTCCCCTCAGGGCTCAGGAAACCCTGCAGAAGAGGAGGCAGAAAGAGTGTAAGACCCAGAGGGGGTAGAGGTCACCAAGAAAACAAGGCCCTCTAAATCAACATGATCAAAACTGATATGAACTCACAGACTGAAAAACCGCAGGCACAGGGACTGTCCGGGTCTGCTCCTGTCCTCTACCTACATATTACGACTTCCAGTTTAGTGTTTTTATGGGACTCCTGAGTGTGTGAATGAGTGGGTCTCTGATTCTTGTGCCTTCTCTTGGGCTCTTTCCTTCTGTTTTGTATAATTTCGATGTGTTAGTTTTTGTTTTGTCTTATTTTATTTTATTATCCCTTAGAAACCTGTTTGTTTTCTAATGAGAGATAGAAAGGGAATGGATCTGGATGAGAGGGGAGGTGGAGAGAAACTTGGAGGAATAGAGGAAGGGGAAACCATAATCAAGATATGTGACTTAAAAATTTTATTTTCAATATGAAAAAAAGACCAGAGATGTAACACAGTGGACAGAAGCTTACCTAGCGTGTAGGAAGCCTTTGGCTCCATCCCCAGCACCACGTAAATGAGGCATGCTGGTGCACACCTGGAATCCCAGCGATCAGGACGGGGAGGAGGCACGATCAGAAGTTAATGGTCATCCTTGGCTACCTAGCAAGTCTGAGGTCTGCCTGGGCTACATGAGATCCTATCTCCCTGCCCCACCCAAATTACACAATAAACAAAAAGTTAGGATCATGTTCTTAGTGGTCTTGGACAGCTCCAAGGAGTCTTTCCTTGGTGGGTTTGATGTGCAAGTCCACGTCTCAGCTTGTACACCGAGTGCCTGTGTTCCTCCATGGGCTTGTCTAGATGGTGGGCCTGGTGCTCACCTATTACATTTGCTCTTTCCTTACCAGCTGGTACAGCCCCTTAGAGAGCTTCCCTTTTGTGGATGCCAAGCGGCAGCCAGCTAGGCTCCCAGATGGTTGCTACTAGGCACATGTCTTTTCTCACTGGCGTCAAGCAGGGGCTGCACCCCCACCTCAGAGCTAGTCACTTAGTCATGAATGTTGGCATGCGGCCCAAGGGAGTTTCAGGAGAGGCCAGCCAAGTTTGATTTAGTCAACCTGAGAACAGCAGGTCACACCAGCTTCTCAGATCCACAGCTGCGTGGAACCCAGAAATATTGTTTCTAGGGATTATAGAGAGATGCCCTGTCTTCTGTTGACAGACCCCACCTACTGCTGTTAATTGCTAATTCTTTTTCATGTCTATGTATGTACTCATGCTTGCTGGTGTCAGCATGGGTGTTGCGTGGCTCAGTGTGTATGTGGAGGTCAGAGCAGCCTCTGCTCTCAGTCTGTACCCTGAGACAGTGCATTGTTTGGCCATTGCTAATTCTTAACAAATAGAAAGGAGATGCTGGAGACATGGCTCAGTAGAGTGCTTGCCTGGAAAGCATGAGATCCCGAGTTTGGTCCCAGCGCCCACACAAGGAAAGGAACAGATGTGGTGGCGCACACTTGTAATCCAGCACTGCAGAGGACACACTGGGTGACTGGAGCTCACGGGCCACTTCGGCCTGACCTGCAAGCTCCAGGACAGCAAGAGGCTCTGCCTCAAAGACCAAGGTGGGAAGCCCCTGAGGGATGATGTCTGAGTTTGTCCTCAGGCCTCTAAATGTGCATGGTGTGTGCACTTGTGTACACACACACACACACACACACACACACACACACACACACACGGAGACCATTACCACCTCCTTTCCCAGTGGTGAGGGACTGCCGTATCCATCCTCTGCAGCTAATATTCCAATCTTAGATGCTTTTGGAGACTTTGCCTAAACCGAGCACGTCTCTCTTTTCCCTGCTGCCATTCCAGAAGGCTGTCAGAGTGAAGCAGATGAGTGGCGCCCTTGTCTTCCTAGCAGGAGGTTGTGCCTCTGCTCTACTTTTAGGAGTATCTGAGATGGGATTTGCGTCCCTCCCACAAAGGTCTTTCTCAGAGTAAAGGAGACGTGTTTCGGAAGGATGGTACACAGACACAGACACAACCATAACTGTAAACATTTTAATCCCTACAACAAAGGTGTGTGCAAATGTGCTCAGATACAGTAGAGCTTGCTCAGCTTGGAAGACGAGTGAGCATGCATTCCTGGGAAGCACGCAGGGGGCCTGGGTGGCCCAGAACTTGAGGAAGGAGCCTATCACCTCTAAACTCTCGTCCTGGACCAATGCACCATCAGGCTGTGGCTAGTGGCTTGCACTTCCAGCTGCGCCAAGGTAATAAAGAATGAGGCTCTTTCCAGTTGGGCTTAACCTGAATGCCTGTGGCCTGATGGCCTCAGGAGCTGTGACTCAGTGCTCTCTCATGGTGACAATAATGTGTAAAATGCCAGTAATTTAGCATGCAGCTGTTCTAATGTTACCAGGGCAGGAAGGAGCCAGTTGTGGGCTCTACTCACTCTAATTGTTTTAAGATATAACATGGCTTTTGTGAGACTTGTCCAACTCTTGTGCAG